ACAAATATTAAAAAGATAAAATTAATTAATTTATAATGAGAGAAAAAGCTCTAAAGAAATCAAAGTTTAGAGTGGGAAGACTGGCTTTTTGTTTCCTTCTATTATAATAAATTATAGTGAATGGCTTTTTTTTTATATTAATGGTATAAAAACATTTGGTAAAAAAAATTGTTTTGTTTGGCATATAACTGCAGAATGGAAACGCCGGATTCAATTTCCATCTCCTCTTTAGGGTCAAACACTGGCAAATGCAAATTGTGTACCTTGCGGCGTTTAATCGTATTGGATGCAGCAGTTTACGATATTCATCGATAGACAACGTCTGTACGTACAATTTTATTTCTATCTAGATTTTATTGAAGTTGTTTTTGCTTATGGTGTCTTTTAAGTTATTAATATAAAAATATCCCGTGAACATCATCATCTTCATAGAAGGTCATAATAGTCATTATGGCTTTTTATATTTTTAACCAGTATTCAAAAATAATCATCTACATCACTGAACGAGCTGCCGTGCTATAGTGAATAAATATTTTATTATGTACTTTATAAGATATATTCCGTTTGAATAAGGCAGAGCCTGTTTAAACGTGTAAGCTAGCTTATTTTTGTCATCACATGTACATCATTCTCGAACGTGTTTCTTGTCTCTTCTCCTCTAGCCAACTATCAAGGTTTTTATTTTCATCATTAGAGAAAAAGGGACTATACGAAAAAATTAATTTTGACAACCTGACAGTAACAAAATATAAAGCTTAATTTAAATGACAAAAAGAAAAAGACGAAAAAAATTTATGTTAGTGATTTTATAATTCTTCTTCTATTATAAGCTTACATTCCCTATATATCTATTAAAAATTGATATAAGCACAAATATACTGAAAAGATGCTATAACAGCATAAGAAATAGCGATATTTGGGTCAATCTTAATTGTAGTTAGTATAGTATCGTAATTACCTACTTTTTTCTCCCCATGAGGAATTAACAGAATGAATTAAGTTAGTATTACTTTTTATGTTTGGCTACAGAGAGAATTTTTTTTCTTTACATTCATCTATCTATCTTTCTTTTGTTGTTGCTCTTCTTCCATGCAATATTCTTTGCCATCTTTTAAATTAATTGATAAGAAAAATTTCAAAATTTTCTCTTTGGTAATAAATATACTTCTATTCTCTACTACACGTGCCTAATAGAATATATGCTGAAATTGTATACTATTTATAGAATTTAATAAGAACGATGAGTTATTTTCAGGTCTTAGAAAGATATTGACGTCCAAATGAAATGACTAATTACTTGATGTTTAGAAATATAGTTTGGTCTATTTCTCTTTTCTTTCTATCATTCGAAACTATTTCTCACATATGTTTTATATTTTTAAGGATGTGAGATGTTATAAAGGGAGGATGAGACTGGATATTAGCTAAAATACTCGTCTCACTATTTACTAGGCCTTGGTAGGAGATTTTTCTTATCCATCTAGATCAAAGTCAATTTACATAATTAATTAACCATATTTCCAACTTAGTAAAATAAATTAGTTCAATCAAGTTATGTTATATATATATTACAAATGATATTTAGAGAAATTAGTTTTAAAATCGGTTACACGCTATCCTTATATGTATCCAGAAAAGAGAAAAGAGAGAAAGAGAGAGAGGCATAAGGTAGCTGAGGAAATGGATGAAAAAGAGAAAGAAATATCGCTCCGCAGTACACTATATCTTTATATAAAGAAAGAAAGTATGAGAGAGGGAAAGACAGGAAGAAAGTAAAAGAGAAGTAATAAGTATACGTGCATTAAAGGTAATATTAACAGGAAGTACACTATCTTAATAAAACAGTGAGAGAACAACTTTTTCCCCCCTATATTCGCTATATATTTCCTATTGCAGTTACCCCAACTCAGGTACACAAATTATTAATAATAGTGTTTTCCTTCCATATATATTTTAATAAATAAAACAGAATGCGTAGATGAAAAATAAGCATAACCTGAATTTCATATTACATGGCATCTTATATACACAAATACAATTAATATTATTCTATTAACTCAATTTATAAGTTTATGATTATATACTACAGTAGAGACTATGCACTTAACATCTCTTAAGGTATTGAATATTCAGAATAACGTTTTATTTAATTCTATTTTTATCTACCACTATCTACAGTATCGTCTACCTTGTAATTTCCAACAAACTAAATAAATATAAATCACGGTCAAGTGACGTCATTTATTTATTCAGTTGAACTGTCATTTTTTTTATTATATAGTTTTGCTGTTTCTTTTTTTTGTAGGCCTATATATTATTAATAATTTATTATGTCTATGATACGGTATAAATTGACAAACGGAGTAAAATAAACAATTAAGTAATACAAAGAAAATAAAAGAGTAAAAGAAAGAAAGAGAAATGGAAATTGTAATTGTAAAGGGAGAAACAATAAATAAAGGATGAGAATTTGAAAAAGAACGAACAATATTAAAAAATTCTTATCAAACAATCAAATATTTTACTTTGAATGAAAGCTATTAAATTAAGATTTCACTATAAATTCTATCTCTATACTATTATCAAAACGACTAAAGATATAGATATATATATATATATATACTGTATATATGTATATAGAGTAAGAGGATACAGAAAGGACTAAATAGAAAATATAAAGGAAGAAAGATAGGGAGAGAAGAAGATAAATTCTGGAAGGTGAAAGAATAATAGTATGAAGGAAAATATGTAGCAAAATATAAAGTAAAAAGCAGTGAATAAAGTCTTAATAATTATACTCTAGTAAGTAAATCACAGGAGCTTTATCATAGATTTCGTGACCAAAGATTTCCTCGACTAAGCCTTAGTATATGTGGTAAAAAATAGAATAAGGACGCCTCTATACTTCAATAAATTAATATGTAGGAAATGTTAAGTAAGAATTCATAAAACAATGGAAAATTGTACATAGCTTATACAGTTGAAAAAAAATATTGAACCAAGTAGGTAAATAATATACTACAATGTAAAAATCAATGTGCATTAACAATCAGATTGTGAAACATTTCCGATAAATGAAGAAAAGGAAAAATGTTAAACTATGTTATATAAAACAATTATCATAATAACTACTATAGTAATAAAATATTAATTACAATTAATAACTTTTATAGGTACTTTATTGCTTACCTAGTATCAGTTCCTGGTGAATTTGTCTCTACTGGTTGAACTATACATGGCATACTACCGCCAAATTCCGATGCGCTGCTTAACCTTCTGCGCCCGGCTTGTTGGCAGAAGACGTCGAAGTCGTCCGCTTCCATTGTGACGCCTTAACGGCGGGTAGGTGGCGCTATTATACCCTTCCCTGCTCACAGGCGGCTTCCGTCGATAAACGCGCCGCAAACAAGTGGGCAGGGTGCGGCGCGCCGCCAACGTTCAGGGTGAATCAATTCGGTAAACGAACAGTGCAGAGTATAAAGCTTCCTGAAACGATACAAACGCTTGCAAAAAGCTTTGAGCGAATCGATCAAATATTCATTAGTGTTATGTTTTTCGCTCTTTTTTTTAACATATCCTTTTCATGTATATCTATAGGTGGCGCTCTATCAGTTCACATCGTCATCTCTCGGATATAAAAGTTGAATGACAAGATTGAAGAGGTGGGAAAAAAGTTCCTCTTTTTGTTGTTAAAGCCAATAAAAAAAAGATACTGGATACAATTGACACTTTTAAAAATAGGTCTATTTTACACCTGCAAAAAAACAGAAAAGGAAAATTTCTTTATTAAATAAAGGATTGAAAGATATTCTGTGAAGGGGTCAAAAAAAGAGATATCACCTACTTGTTTTTATTGTAAATGTTAAAAGTACCATACGGGTAACATTGACAGATTATAAATCACGATCGTTTGTTAAAAGATGAAATAAAGAAGAAGGTTTAAATAGAACTTTTCTCCATTTGAAACTTCGCTTTAATTGCCCAGTATATCTTCAAATTCGTCTACTTTCTTTATTGTTCATACGACTATGAATAAAGGTAACAACGCCTTCATTTATAATATGAAAAGCAATATATAAATATAAATTTTGATAGTATAGAAATGAATAGAGATCTGGCTTTAATTCTCCAATAGTTCTTTTCTTTAACAAAATAAGATTTCTCTGTCAAATTAACATTTATCAAGGGTTTTTTGCCTATTCAACATATCTATAGGTATAGGTCAAGACTACGCGACCCTGTCGTTCTACCAGTAACAATATAAGTACAATATCTCGATTGGACGTCTATTTTCTTTTATTGACCACGCTGCAAAGTAGTCGTATGAAAATAAACGGGTTTTGAATATTCTTCATCTTAAAAATTACCTCTAGTCATGCAGTGCCTGAGGTGTATACAAAATGAAATAATACGGCAAAGGTTAAGGTTGCTGTAGGTATGCGACCCAAAACAGCAGGAGTTTCAATCTTTTGACTATCGAATTTTTACTTTTTAACTGCAAGGAAACCATTTTTGTAACATTCTTTGAATAGTCCCATTTTTTTTACAGATAAGAATTGAATAGTTTGCTTAGCTCTTTAAACTGCTTTGTTAGAACGGACGTATCAATACTTTTTTTATATGCTTTCCTCTTATAAAATTAGATACTTTTGTTTTTTCCCGTGAGAAAATATTGTTAAAGCTTATCTTATCAGTAGTACGCAAAAGATGGTGGCGTTTTAAAAAAATTTATAACTTGATAAGGTTAAAACTTCTTATGTGTTAATTAATACAAAGGAAAAAGATAAGGAAAAAGTGAAAAAGGCTATTTCCAATGTCCAAATATTTATAGATACTCTATTACGTAATGTAAACTGAATTCTTGACCGGTGGTCAAACATTTTAGGTAATAACTTACCCAATCAGAATATAGCACGCGAGTTTTATTACTCAACCACCGTTTATTGGCCAATAGAATATGGGCGGAGTCTAACTTTATTTAGGCACATATTCGGCGGGTCAGTCATACGGTCAGTCGCGTGTAAGGCCGTACGACAAGCGCGTGTTCAATCTTCGTTTTGTTGAAATTAACAAAAAAGTTTGAAGTGATTCTATAAATCAATTAATCTTCTCTGATAAATAATGGCTGAAGGTAATAGTGAAACAGAAGCTATGTCTCCAGATTCCGCTAAAAAGGTTAGCTATTTAATTCTTTCTAGAACTGTAATGATTAGTATCCTAAGACGGATATTTGTAGCAATTAGCATATTGCTATGATGAATAATCACGCTGCAATTATGACAAAGCTCTTCGTATAAAAATATACATTTCATTATCTATATTTAGCGTTATCAGTTGCTACTGAATCTTTTTCGAACGAATATGATATTCTTGAGCTGAAAATATATAGACGATTGATGAACCTTTTGGACTCTTTATAGCTATAGAGTGTTAAATAGCTATTTGAATGCTTACTGTATATAACATATAAGAGACTTAAATCACATTATTTCGCGTCGTTGAACATATTCAAGAAAATTCCTTATTGAGTAAGCGGCCTCAGTAATTACGTGTTCATGCAACGTTTCATTTCAAAATATAAAAGTCTATTACAAAAAAATATTTTCTCTTTTTTTCCCACGCTCTTTTTTCATGAAACTGCCCAATTTCCTAATCATCTGTAGTTTCTCTCTCTCTCTCTCGCTTTCTCTTTCTTTCTTTGTCTATCTTTCTTCTTGATATATCTATATATTTATATATCTATCTATCTATCTATCTATATATATATATAAATTTATATATATACATATATATGTATTTATTTCTGTAACAGAGCAGCAAGCCTATAATGGAAAAAAAGAGGCGAGCAAGAATTAATGCTTGTCTTTGCGAGTTGAAGGGTTTATTATTAGATACTATGAAAAAAGAAGTAAGTTAAATTTTTCTATTTAAATAAGTGTTAAAAACTTCTTCCTCTCACTAAATTTGTCTGTCTATCTGTCTGTCTCCCCTTACTTTTTCCGTTCAAATAAAAGTGAACTTTTGACTCTCTTAGCTCATTCTAGTCATAATTAGATAGTTGAAAATTAAATAATTTAAAAGGGTAAAAACATTGACCAGATTTTTAACAGTCTTTTGTTTAGTTACGAATTAATTGTTCACCTCTGTTCACACTTTTACCATAGTTTAATTGTGAGAAATTTCAATGCTCTATCTATTTATAGGTGTTAAAAAAAAATTATAGATAAAAAGTAAAAGTTAAACACGTGCAAAAGAAAAATAGAAATGTTATTAAATTAAATAAAAAACGTATTCCTTATTTTATCATTCTATTTAAATTCTATTTTGAAAGTTCGTTTCTTGATTCATTCATTGTTTTTGTTCAAGTATAAGTACTCGTTAGGAGTTATCGGATCGCATTGGCGGCATCGTTTAAACAGTTGATTATAGGGTAAAATCATGGGAAAGGAGCAGCTTCAAGCTGAGTAATTAGTAGTGGTGTTTGAAATTTTGTCTTTAAAAAACTTCTCTCCGAGTGGAAATTTAATACTTCTAATTTGTGTTAAAAAAAAAACGACTTCCTGTGGTAAAGAAACTTTTTATCAGCCTATAAAAAAAAGATTAAATAATAAGATGAAGCTATAAGATAATAATTGAAGAGACTTTTTTTTATATGTGTGTGTTGTCAAAAAAAAGGAACTATGTTAATTATTTCCGTCTTTCATACGGCTAATGTAATTCAATAAATAATAATGCTAGGAATCTATATATATTTCTTTACGTTTACAATGATAAATAGACAGAAATTTCAATACTAGATGCTTGTTAGTTCGCGCTGTTAAAACGGCTTTTAAGGAACTAACATTCTAATAGTACACTCTAATTGCATAATTTTTCTTTTAATAGGGTGCCAGGCATAATAAAATGGAGAAGGCTGATATTTTAGAATATACGGTTAGACATCTAAGACAAATTCAACGACAACAATTTTCAGGTAAATTTAAAAAAAAAACACTGATGTTTAACTAGAACAATAGGAATAATAACGAAAGGCGATAAAGTTTGGAATAGACAGATATCTTCTAACTATTTTTAATTCACTTAGTATAAAAACGTTTAACTTGAATACGAAGGTAGCAATTTTCAGGTACGTTTTTTCACACTATCGATGCTTTATCTTTTTGGAAGCACTCTAAAAAGCATTAAACAATTCAATTTACGACCCATAAAATATTCACCTATTGTTCAATAGCCATTTTGGATGACGTCAAGTAGCTGATTTTGTCAATTGCCAATAGAGGTAAATCATCGTTGGTAATTTCATAGCCTAAGGGGGTTATTTTCTTCTTCCCTTAAAGAATATACACTTTTCCGGTCTCAAACACTTGACTTTTATATATTTAAGAAAACATTAACATTTTTTTAAGACACCTTGGTATTTTTTATATAAAGGGGTAAGTGTAAATAAATCCTTATATATTGTTATATATAAAATCAATATAGTAAAAGTGCAAATTTGTTTTTTTTTCATGTACAAATCATATATAGTATATATAAATATATACGCATAATAACGCACTGCATACACATAAGAAATTGTTAATAATAAATAAAAATTGGCAACTATTCAACAGGTTTAAGTTTGGTAAAGTTTAACGAATAATTTATCGCAGTTCCCCTTATGTAAACATCTATTGAAATTGAAAAATAGCATTGTTCAATTTTCTTTCTTTAATTTTCCTTTTTTTCCTTTCAGCCATTGCCACAACAGATCCAGCTGTTCTTAATAAGTACTACGCTGGCTTTAATGAATGCACTAGCGAAGTTTCGAGATATTTAGCAAATATCGATTCAGTTGATGTTGAAATAAGATCCAGATTATTAGAGCATCTTAGCAATTGCATGGCTGCTAGACGACCGGGAGAAGAAAGTACCCCTCGTAAAGAGCAACAAACCAATTACGTTATGATTAATATGCCTCCCTCTGCTCAGAGAACAATTGTAATGCAATTACCAGTTTTAGCAACTCCCACCTTAGATCTTAATAACAATAAAGAGGAAACAACTAACTGCAGACGACCTTTTTCAGCACTCTCTTCCGACGGCGAGTCGTCACCAGTTAAACGCTTTAGATTAGATAACGATGTGAGGTTAGAAGATAAACCTTGGAGGCCGTGGTAAAAAGAAAAAAAATAACAAAAATATTGAAAAAAAATATGACTTTCTTCTAAATGTATATTTCTTTTGTAAGACTGTTCAAATTGTTCAAAAAAAATGTTTGAATGCTTTTTAGAAAAGAATTTTTAGTGTTTATAAAGCAAAAAAAAAAAATTCTATTATTTATATCTATTTTTTTTTCCAAAAATGGAATTCCTCTTTATTTAAAGTTAACGATATTTGACAGAAAAGGTTAAAAGGATCAGTAAGAAAATTTTTATTACTTAGTTAAATAATTAAAAAATCTCATTTATCTTGAGAAAGAATTTAAGGATTATATAAAATTTAAATCTATTTAAAGATAACTACTATTTATTTGATAAATATCATTCTAAAGGAAAAGAAAAAAAGAAAATTGGAAAGAAAATTTCCCGTTCGCCTTTCTACCCTGGAAATAATTTTCTTTCATACCATTTCAAAAACCTGAATCAATCTTTTAGAGTGTCTTTTGTTAAAGTGACGTCACCTAAATAGTATTGCCTTTTCAACCCACTCTTTTCTGTATTACGATCATGTTTGCCAAAATAATAAGAAAATAACTTTGATCTTTACTTTTTTCTTCCTTAGTAAAATATTAATTAAATTTGTTTTTTATAAAAAAAAAGTAATATTTTTTTAGTAGATTAAATTAAAAGTAAAATTGTGAACATTATTGCATATTGCTAAAAATATTTCAAAATTTCTAAGAAAGTGGCGACATCTACATGAGAAAATTATTTGCGAATGTTTAATGAAATAAGGCATGATGATTGAAGAGTGTACTTGAACATTTAAGAAGAGAATGATGGAGTTTGATTAAACGATAAATCATTTAAAACAATTAAGAAATAAAAGAAATGTAAATAAAGGAGTAAGAAGTGAAATGGGAACGTTTAATAAAATTCATGTAATGCATTACTATAGAAATGTCAGTAAATACACGTTTTGTATAGAAGTATATGTATATATTTGTACATACTAATATACTGTATATATATATATATGTACATTTCTATAAATAGAAATGTTCAAAACAAAAATTAACAAAACATAAGAGAAGAATTCTTAGATGAATTTATAAAAAAAATCTGTCTTATTTGTTTGTTTACTTTACAAACTACAATAGTTAATGTTTTGTGATGAAAATACCGCAATAGGAAGACAAAAGATGGCGCTTCTTTCACTTTGGCACTTGCTGTTTTTCTAAATAGGCTTAATTGAGATATGAACGAGAAAAAGCATTTTTACTGTAATTTACTGTGATGACGATAGTTTAGAGGCTTCACGCTTTCGACATAATTTACCTTTTTCAATATAAATCATCTCCCACATACTTATAAACCTAATTAAACTGGAAAATCGACCCTAAACGCTGCAACTTCCGCCTGCAAATATCCGTTTCGTTATTGCTAAGCTATAGGCTTAGCGAATTCGAAAATCGCCTAACTTCCGTCCCATTGTTTTTTATTGTAAGTGACGTTAGACGCTTTTAGACGTCTCCCCAGAGTGCAGGCGGTTCTGAAGATACACCAGAAATACCTGGTAAAGAACGACAGATTCCTAGGAGACGTCGTACACCTGCTATCAGACAGGTTACTGACTCCGTCGAATCAAAAATTTAATATAAATTTTCGCCGAAAGGAGGAGCCAGTTTAAATGTTCAAAGCAGAACTCGCGCGGAATTGGACGCATGATAACGGCGCCGTTACCCGCTTCCGATTTCTTTTTTCTGCAAAGACGGCCGACGCCGACTCTATTACTACCTAGTCGGTTTGTTTTTCCAGGTAGGTTTACTTTCATTTCTTCTTGTTAATATAAGAAACGAAGATGACTATCAGTCTAGAGTAAAGTTTACTTTCAAGGGGGAAATATATATAAAAGAAAAGAAGATATCAAAACTCATCAACTTTTTTCTTTTCATTTGTTTAGCCTTTTTTCAACTTATTCTTTTTTTTTTATCTCATCTTTGTTTATTTATTTCCCGCCATAATGGAAAAAAATACTCGAATATAAATAACAATTTTATAATTTGCAAACCTTTCGCGGAAGTTAGAGTATCAAGCACTTCTGGTCATTAATTTTAAACCTTTTTTCTTTGTAAATACCTTTATAACGCTTCCTTTTACCTTAAATGAAAGGAAAAATGAATAAATATTATTAATAGCATCAAAATTAAAAAGTGAAATAGGAATAGGGAGAGCGAATGAAAGAGAAAGAGAGAGGTATATATATAATGTATATATGTATATACTGTGTATATATATATATATAGACAAACATAGAAAAAGGTTAAAAGACGAAAGAGGATGTAAAATGTCTCTTTATTTTCGTATAGAACCTGCTCCCTTGGATTATTATCTCATTTTTTTTCGACAAGATCCTTCTGATTTTATTCTTGTTTTTTATTTCTAACCCCAAAAAATGTTTATCTTCCGTATTAAAAATTTTTCCCACTCTTTTATGCAAATACAACTTACAAATTCGTATTTGTTTCGTTGTATTTATTAAATTATGAATATAGAATGAGCAAACCTCTTTCTATATATAAATGTCTAACCGTTGTTTTCTAACTCACCAGTCCAGATTTTTTTTGTTTTTAGAGATATTAAAAAAAATTTCTATCTTCTTAAGTTTTTACTCGGCGAAAAGATAACGTGACTTAATCGCTTTGCAGTAGCTAGATATCAGGTGGCTTCGCAAGTGGCCGACTGCAAAACAAACTGCGCCTATAAGTCAAATATACAAACGTGTTAGCGGTAGAGAGGTAGATAAGAGCTACTATTACCATAGATAGTATATTCCCCAAAGGTTTTTTGAAATAGCTGGTTGGCTTTATCAATATTTATGAGTTGATTTTAGGTCATGTCATAGGTCCTCACTTTGCATAATGCAACATCCTTTTTAAATGTTAGTACACATTGTTAGCATAGACAAATATTAATTAGGGTAGAAAATACAATATCTCTATTAAACTGAAATTGGTTTTTAATCACTAAGAATATAAGTAGGCTAAGCTGTAAATGATATATCTGCTGAAAAAAAAGGAAATAGTTTATTTATGAATGAAGATTTATTGTACAGAGTAAAGGTTTATTATAAAAAAATTAAAATTTTCATAATCCTTATCCATTTACCATTCCGAAACAAGTGACAATAACTCCATTAATCGAGTTTCATTAATATTCAAGTGGAGTATACTACCCTAGTGGCCAGTATTAGATGAAGGTTAAACTTACAATTTGATTGGGATAAATAAATCGCAAATGTTCTCCTAAGTTTATACAGAAACCTGGAATGAAAAGTACGAAATCAGAAAAGCAGTATAAAGTTTTCATTAATACTAATAGCGGTGAACATGCAAAATAAGTGAGAAATTATATATATATATATACTGCATATACAGTATACATACTGCATATATATATATTAGTATATACTCTATATATATGATTTCATGAGCAATATAGATAATTTATATCCGATTGTAAAATTCTGTATTGTTATTAAGGTACACGCAGATTGTACATAGCATATAGATTTTTCTTAAAGATGATGAAATGAATGAAGCCAAATGAATGAAGCCAACCAACTGCTCTTTTAAGCTAAGTAAGAAGCTTAGTTTTAACGTTTTGCTGAAAATAAATATTCGTAATATGTTACGTCAGAACAGGTTGAGAAAGGTGCGCAAAGATTCGCCCTATTGCTATCATTAATCAAGATTAAACGTATAAATACGTTACAACAAATGTATACAAAGCGAAGTATCTATCTATATATATATATATATATATATTAGTATATATTCGTATATTGCGCAATAAATTGCCCACTATTAATTGCCCACTATTAATTGCCCACTAGTAATTGCAATATGCATTTTTAACTAAAATATTATAATTATTATTTGATAATTTATTCATAAATGTTTATGAAAAGCCTAGTTGAATTTGTCTTTGTTTCATTAACAGAGATTCCAGAATATTTTAAATATTTTCTCTGTTACTAGAACACGCAAAATCGTGAAATTGAATATTCTTTCAATTTAAATATACCTAACCCTCTCTTACTCTCTTTCTCTCTCCCTTTATCGCTCTCTCTCTCTCTCTCTCTCTCTCTCCATCTCCCTCTTTCTCTCTCGCTTTATTTCTCTGTCTTATTTTATTTTCTCTTTTCCAATTTCGTATGTTTTTTCTCGTTTAGAATATACAAAATTTCTGCAACATAGAAAATAAGTCAGAACACCGCAACAAAGTCAATTTCATCAAATTCTCAAAAAAGCTGCTTATAGGTTACATTTAATTGAGAGTGACGTATCGCCTTTGCGGCACAATTGAATCCGCATGACTTAAATATAAAAATTGCGTAATCAAAAAGTAAACAAATTCTAACCAGTTATTCGCAATATGGCACTAGCGTATAGCTTTAGGCTACTTTACATATCACTTTACTTAGGAGAAAAAGATGTAGAAAAAGAAGGGGAAATGCTTAGAGAAAAAGAAATATTATTCTCATCTTTCCGTTAGATGTGGAAACAAAAACTTATTTCTCTCTCCACAAATCTAACATTGACAAACAGGTGCCATTCTTATCTCTAAATCTTTCTTCGCTCGACTTATTATAAGCAGACTGATGTTTCAAATGCAGGATTGCCAACTACTCCTCCTCTTCTTTCGATAAACCAGAGAAGACCCTCAAAGAGGAAATCGGACGATGAACCTCTCTATTGCAATGTTTGCAGAGTTAGTTTAAACGCTCCAGCTCAGGCTAAGCAACATTATGAAGGAAAAAATCACGCAAAACGTGTTAGACTTCACGAAGCAACTACAAAGTTATTAAATAAGGTAAGTTTAGAGTGACTTGATGAAAATCGATTTCATTAATTAGGCCTTTATTCTGAGAAACTTCAAACTGTACTTTTTCCTTTATGCAAAGCTGAAATAAATGAGCCAATCGACTGAATGACGCTTTTAAATGCCAAGCATGTACTATCAATTAGAGTAATCAACTTACCACAATTTTACATTTTCCTTTGTAAAATGCCCGTTAAAAAAATCTACTGTTCACTCGGAAATAGGAAATGTTACTTTTGTTGAGAATTTACTAATTGCGAGTTTATTGTTAAGAAGGAAGGAAATCTCATTAGAATACTAATAAGAGTGCATAACCGCTAGGAATTTTAAATAGTCATCTTGTAAATTGTTTGTCATGCTAGACAAGTTGTTTTTCTATACAAAAGCTGAATTAGGATGCAACGAGAAGCTGTTATATATAATCTGTTTATGAAAATTTATATATATATATATATATATATATTTATATATATATAATTATACATATACCATTCTGTAGATCGTAAAAAGTGCATAACTTTTTTTTACAAGACAATCTGTGTTGTACATAGAGAAGTAAAAAGAAACAAACTATATTGTGTATAAAGTGAAAAGGTATACATTTTTGATTGAAAAAATTAGAAACTTTATATCAACTTTGTTTGCCAAGAGAAAAAAAAAGAAAAAAAAGAAGGAAAGAACTATTTAAAATGGTCAGTTGAGGAACGTTGCCTTATTTTGTTATTTCTTTGGATATTACCAGTAATAAACGTATTTCACAACATTA